TGTGTGTGTGTGTGTTACAGCACTATACGTAGATGTGATCATTGTGTGCGCTGGGACTGCTGGTTGACATGTGCATTGTCTGTCAGCGCAGGAAGATAACTGACAGAGCTGTCACTACGACAAACACACACGCATGTATACAGTATACACACACACACACAGTGTCCCACGCCACAGATCACTGTCTCTGTCTCCGTCTGTCACGCTAGACATTTACACGGAGGGAAATCAGGTCAGACGAGGTAATTAACACATCCAGGATTTATTTCCCAGCGTGCAGCAGGAACAGAGTACAACACTACCTGTCACACACAGGTGGGTCTGCCACTGCCATTGTGCTGCGGTCGGCCACGTCAGTAACAATCTTTACTGCCACTGTGAAACAGGATTGTTGTACTAAAAGTCACAAGTTGTTTTATAGTGAAAACTTTATTTATTAGTTGAACAGTCGAATAGTTTCATTGAAACTTTGCATATCATATATTATTCTTTATTGATCACCGTAGGGAAATTCACTCTCTGCATTTGACCCATCCGTATTGCTAGGAGCAGTGCGGGCACCCAGGGACCAGCCCCAGATCTGAGCTTTGGTCAATCAGTTTTGGGGAAACCAGAGCATGGGGGGGACATTCAAACTGCACACAGAAAGGCCCTGCCCCAGCCTGGATTTAAACCCAGGACTTTACTTCAGTCAGTGGTGAACCACAATGTTGACACCATGTCTCCAAGCTACACCAGCTCTCAGATGTCAGTCAACTGCTTGAAGCTTCCACAAATATGTATAAAAAATGTTTTTTATCCACTTTAGAAAAATAGAAAACTAGAGAATTCAAATTTCAGTCGGACTTTGAACAATACAAATTACATTTTTATCTGATCTGATCTTTGATCTCCATCTTCATATCCCTTGTTCAAGGGAACAAGGGATATCATCCTTTGTTAGAGATGGCAGCTGGGTCTGTTAGTTAGTCTGCACTGCTTATAGATAACAATAAAATAGTTAAACACACTTTTAAAAGAAAGAAAGGAAGAAAAGCGGCAGATAGATGATGGACAGACGGACAGACAGATGGATGGATTGGTGGGGATTAATAGTGGTGATATCAGCAGTGGGCATACTGTCGATGTAGATATTTTCTGTGAATGAAAATGTAGCGATGGCAGCTTTCTTTCCAACCACTCTGCTTTCCTTCTGTGTGTGTTAATGTGTGTGTGCGTGTGCATGTGTCCTGAAGTAATGCTGATAGCCAGAGTAAGCTCTGGGAATTTAATCTCAGCAGAGCTATGCTGTGCTCCCCTGATAACTAAACACACACACACACACACACACACCAATGTCTCTAACACAGCCTCATCACCCCCTCATTCACTTTCACTGCACACACTTCAGTAGCACTCTCTCCTTTCCTCAGCAACTGCTACTCAGGTGCCCATTAGCAAAGCACTGAACCTGCCACTCAGCAGGCAGCTGCCCAGTGGAAGTACAGATTTTTTTCCTTGATGAATGAAGGTTAATCACAGGGGTTATCATGGGGAAACTGGACTACTGCAGCTGTAAGGATACAGTAAATAAAAAGTACAACTGACAGCTTTACCATTAGCCTATAATTTATATGTTCTAATAGTAAAATATGTATGGAACTGTACTGAAATTATGAAATTTGGTTTTATTTATTATATTTTCTTACATTATATAACGTAGAACCCTTACATTTAATGCCAGTAAAAACCGAAGGTGTTTCCAAAACACTGCACAGCAGCCAGATGTTGAGGCTGGTCAGTGGATTGAGTTGAACATGTTTCTGTGTTCTGTCGTCAGTAGGAAGAAAGGCTGCAGTCTGTGTAAGTCATCAAGAGAGTTTCTGGAGCTGCTTCATTGAAAATCAACTGGAGCCTGACTTTGTGGACTCATGCTGCATTTGTGTCTTATGGGAATATCTGTCAGAACAGTTCAAGGCAACCGCTTAGAAATATATTTTAACTCATTTGAAGCCATGAAGACATTTTGAGCAAAGCTTTCTGTATATTTTGGTCATTTGCAGCTTTTCCAAACTGAAAACACACACTACCGTGATATTTTACAGTTACAGTTTAGTTTAAAACATTTGTTTAAGCTGAAGTGAATTCATCATGTACTCATTTACTTTAATTCAAAATGATGTTTTTTTTAAATAACATTTAGCGAAAAGGGCACATTTATTGGATTAATCTGAAGCAGAACAATCTCAGTGCTGGACAGTAATTGTCAGACAGCATGCAGCAGCTGAGATGAACATGCTAAATGGAGGCTTTTATGTTCGCGTGCTGTAAAATGTCCAAGCACAGGTGTTACTAATAACATTAACCATGGCAGTGAGCCAGCATTTACAATATTGGGACCCCAAAAAACCAAAGCAGCTGAATGGAATTCAGCTGTCATCACATATAAATACATATACGTATATTGCTTCCCTCTGTCTGGTGAGCCAAAACCATGTTTAAGCTCTGTAAGGATCTACAAATCACTAACTTTCCTAATATAACAGATGTGTGACAATTTATCCATGTTTCTACATTTGGTGACACCAAATGCGGCTGTGGCTCAGGTGGTAGAGCAGTGCATCCACTGATCACAGGGTTGGCGGTTTGATCCCAACCGCCTCCTGTCCACACGCTTAAGTGTCCTTGGGCAAGACACTGAACCCCACTTTGCTCCCTATAGCCACTGGGGATGCATAAGCCAGTGCATTCTGAATTACCGGTCCCTTGCCCAGAGAAATGGGGGGGGTTGCGCCAGAAAGGGCCTCCGGTGTAAACAGCCAATGCCAAATCAGATATGCAGATCTACAAATCGTTTGCATTTGGATAGCGCTAACATATGTTCAAATACGTCTCAAACATGATGATGCATTGTTCCTGAGTAAATTTGTTACATTTTTCTAGTGGAATATTATTTTTGTTAAAGCAGCAACAAGGAACTTTAATTCTGTGTTGATTGTGGCGTCCCATGTTGGGTTCTTGTGTTAAAATAAATTCGAATTTTATAACAGGATCCCTTTAAGTTGTTTTAGTTCCAGAAAGTGTACAACCCTCATCAAAAACCAAACTGTCCAACATAAACTGATTAGAGATTCTGCTTTTATTTTAAATTTAACCCATGTTTATTTAGTGACACCACTGCCAATAATGAATTCATTATGACAATTTGCTTTTAAAATAAATCATCTTATTAATCTATTTCTTCCACACTACTGATTAATATACCTTTAACTCAAGTGGTGTTATAAAAAGCACTTCATGTTTTCAATCTTTGTATTTTATTTAACCTGCATTTAACCAGGCAGCTCAATTAGGAATAAGCCCTTGAATGCGTTTGCGACGTGTGTGTGTGTGTGTGTGTGTGTGTGTGTGAGAGAGAGAGAGACAGCGAGGGGATGAGGGGGTAGAACGAGTGTTTTGGAATGACAGGGAGAAGTGAGGGGGATAATGAGAGGAGGAGGAAGAGGAGGAGAGGGGGAAGGAGAGAGGAATAGCTGTCAGGCAGCAGACAAAAGCTTTGTTTGAAGTGTCAGTTCAACGACGCATTTTGTGCGTGTTTGTGTGTGTTTTCTGGTTTGTGTGTTCATTCAGACGGCATTAGAACATTAGAGAAATATCAGCAGGCATTCCTGGATAGACAGAGGAGAAGAAGAAAATCCAGAATGCCATCAGTACCAAAATATACAGCTTTTAGGTTTCCGTATGTGGATGATGGTAAGAAGGAGAATAGGGAGAATATCAGAAATCACTTCGTCTTTGTGTGTGTTTGACATGAGAGCGGGTATTATAATGAGACACAGACCTCAAACACATTGTTACTTCCAGCTTTGTTTTAATACACATCACACACACCGGTGTGTTTGACACTGATGGATAGATGAATCGACCAAGAGTGAGGACAGAGCAAGAATATGAGAAGATTCTGTAGCTTTGTGTCTTTTTGTGTGTCACATCACACAGCGAGAGAGCTAACAATGACACACAAACATAAAGAAACCACACAGTATTTAAAGGAGCTCGCTCTTATTTACATATGTACATATTTCCTTAGTGTTTGTTTCTTGTCTTTTGTTTGTATGTAGAAAACAGTGATCTCAACTCTGCTAAATATTAGAAATGTTTTCTTATCCTTTTGTTTCAGAAACAGCACAAAAACTTTAGAGGTTAACAGTATGTCCCCTTAAAGGTTCATACCAGCTGTAGCCAATTCACTACACATATTTTACATCACAACTGACCATCTGACACACATGCTAATGAGTTTTGGATTTATTTTTTATACTTTATTTTGCACCAGGCAGCCATTGTTTTAAATCCATCAAATTTGAAATTCAATTAGTGGACTCTTCCAGTGGAAACTGCCTTGAGTTGTGTGATACATTAAAATGTTCAGATTGATCACACAGTGAGTTTTAGAGGCAAACTACCTCAGTGCAAAAGTGTGAGTGGATGTGAATTCTTCCATTGAAGATGTTGTCAATGCAAGTTGAATATGTTTTAATTTAAGAGATTAATGTGTCCTGGAGTTCCTGCTGAGTTCTGCGATCCGTCAGTCTGAGGTGCCACCCAAAAATAAAATACACACACAAAAAAATCTAATGGTTTCTTTTTCATAAATAATGCTAAAGCTGATCAATATGGATTTTTTAAGGCCGATACCAATGTTAGA